GGAGCCAACGGCCAAGACAGAATTCTTGAGATGTCTTTGGTGCAAAATGGTGGTTTTATTAAAGCACGGGGACAGGACCCATGGGCAGAAAGAGCTGCTGCCCTCCTAGGATTGTGAGGGGCAACTGATTATATACTTTGCGGTTGGGGGAAGGAAAGATAAGGGAAGTTTCAAAAGGATTTTCATACGCTAAAAGAAGACTCAGGAAACCTGAGGCTTAGCTATTGTCAAACCAAGATTGTTTTTCCCTCTAGCCATGCATTAACATTAAGACAGTTGGGAATTTCCAGGAGGAACTTTATACTCTGCCTGCCTCGAGTATTTGTCAATGGGCAGCAGGTTTTAAGGGCATTTAACTTTATCTACATTTCCTTCTGCCTTTGTTTCCCACATCACTGTCACATACCTTCCTTATTCTACCTTATACATTAGTTTCTTATTTCGCCTCCCTTTTAACTTACTGTTTCTTACCTGATAAGATTGTGGGAGGGGCTAATGTATTTAATATCATATGTAATTTAAGAGTAAATGGGCACAGAATGAGTGTCCAAAGGCCCTTGTGTGGCATAAATTGCTCAGGGTTGATCGGGGTAACTGATGATAACTCAGAGCCATCCTTCACTTTCGGTTTCAGGGCTATGTTCTTAAACTCTGAAATTGTCAGAAATCTGGCTTCCCTAAAAGGGAAGAGGAAGGAAATAGCAAGGAGAACTCCCTCTCTTTCTGTCAAGTTCCCATCTCAGCACACATTAGAAGGTACGTTCATTGGGATTTTTACCTCCCAGGGAAGCACTAAGGAGGAGCATCCCCTCTTTCCTTACCTCTCCAACCTACTTATATCCTTCTAACAGAAATGAGTTTCTTGTAAACTGTGTAGTTGGGTCATTGTTTCTTTTTTCTTTTACTTTTTAATTCATCCAATAATCTCTGTCTTTTCATTGGTGTGCTTAGACCAGAGGTTGGCTAACAATGGCCCCTGGGCCAAGTCCAGCCCACCACCTGTTTTCAGAGAAGAAGAACATGCGACAGAGATTGTATATGGCCCATAAAGTCAAAAATATTTACTATCTGTCCTTTTTAAAAACTATGTTGACCCCTGGTTTATATCATTTACATTTAATGTAATTATTGCTATGTTTAGATTTAGATCTACCATTTCCTTATTTGCTTTTAGTTCATTCCCTCTTTTTTTTTAATTTTCTATTTCTCTTCTCCTCTTTTTGAGTTATTTGAACATTTTTTATTATTACATTTTATCTATTGTGTATTTAACTCTATTTCTTTGAATAGTATGTTTATGGGTTGCTCTAGGCATTACAATATCCATATTAACTTTTCTAAGTCCATTGGAATCAGTATTTAGCACTTGAAGTGCAATGTAGAAAGCTTACCACCATATAAATCTCTTTATTCTTGCCCCTTTATTTTGTACCTATGTTATACATTATCTCCACAAACACTGAAAACTCCACCAGACACTGTTATAATTTTTGCTTTCAACCATTAAGCATATTTTAAAGAGGAAAAGTGTATTAAATTTACCTAAGTATTTACTATTTCTATTGCTCTTCCTTCATTTCTGATGTTCCAACCTTCCTTTTGGTATCATTTCCCTTCTACCTAGTGAATTTCCTTTAGCAATTCTTTTAGAACAAGACTGCCGGCAAAAAAAAAAAAAAAAATCGTCTTAGATTTCCTTCATCTGAGAACATTTTTATTCCAACTTCATTCCTGATGGAATGTTTGCTGGAGATAGGATTCTGGGTTGACAGTAAAGGCTAGAAGGATGCCACAGGGGAAAAAATTCTGTGAACTGAACATCAGTTTGGTGGTACTTTGAATTTTTGTCTTCACTGATCTGCTTGCTACTATTCAGTTTTCAGAGTCCTCAAATACATGCTCTATGCTTTCTGTCCAGATTTTATAGTTGCATTGAGTTGAAGAGACAGGATGGAGTGTACTTACTCCATCTTACCTAGAACCAGAATCCTCTCCTCATTCTTTACTGCTCTTCCATTAGGGAGAAGAGCTAATCTGATTAGTGGAAGCTGATCTCTCCTGGTCAATGTTTTATTGTAAAAGGGGTCATTATGTTAAAAGTCACACTCACACGCTCCAGCTCCTTTCTTCTGTCTTTGACTTGCTTGCACCAAGACAATGAGCCCTGGATCTTTCTGTCACCACCGGGTCGCTACACATAGGGCAGGCCCAGGGCCTCTTCCAGAGACAGCTCTGGCCATCATTCCTCTATTCTCTCCTGGTACCTCAGAGTATGTGAGGCCCACCTACAGTTCTCACAGCTGTAGTGTCTCAGAGGGTCTGTTCTGTGAACCCAAATCTGCTCATGGAAGGTCCCCAAGTCTAGATGTGGGGTGAGAGTCGGAGGGCCCCATGTTGGCTCCAGGTCTAAGTATATTCTCCCATTCAACTTTGCCAGAAAGTCCTGAACCTTGCAGGTTGTTTGGCCCTTGCCTGAAGCCTCGATATGTTGATACTTCTTTTTTATATGGCCATTAGATCTCTGTATCTAGTCTCTCCTTTCATTAGATTCCCGTTATTAGTCAGAATAAGAGACACAAACCCTACTGGTTTAAACAAAAAAGTTTGTTGGTTTATATAAATAAAAATGTCAGTTTCAGGTTAAGCTAGAACCAAGACATTGCTCTTCATCTTTCAGGTCTGTTTTCTTCATAATGGCTTTACTCTCTGGCCACATGGAAACACCAAGAGCTCAGGGTTCAAAACATCCTACACCTAGGTATCAGCATAAAATTAGACTTTCTCCTTCCCAATAACTAGAAAACACTAGTCTCAAAGCTCACTGACTCTCATTGGGTGATATGCCCATGTCTGTGGCCTGGAGAAAGGTTGGCCAACCCAAACTACATGGACCGAGAGCAGGGACAAGTGTCTCCCCATGGAAAACTGGGGTGCTGAGACCAAAAAAAAGGAGACGCGTTGGAAAGCAAGTAACATGTGTCATGTTTTAACCAAGGAAAAGTTTTATCCAACCTACAATTGGTGCTGACATTTATTAGGCTTCAACTGCATGCCAGGCACTGTGCTAAGCACTTGACATTTATGACTGTATTTCATACTCACAATAACAGTTTTTAAAACAACACGAAAAGTACTCAACATCAGTATTCATCAGGGAATGTATATTAAAATCACAGTGAGATACCATCCCATTAGGAGAGAATATACCATAACTTGGCTAGGAGATGGAATAATTGAAATTCATCTACTGCTGGTGAGAGTATAAAGGGGTATGATCACTTTGGAAAACAATTTGGCATTTTTGGTAAAGTTAACCTACACTTGGGACACCTGGCTGTCTCAGCTGGGAAAGTCTGTAACTCTTGATCTCGAAGTCAGGAGTTTGAGCCCCGTTGGGTGTAGAGATTACTTAAATAAATAAAATTAAAAAAAAACTTAAACTACACTTAACATATTAATCAGCAATTTGACTCCCAGATCCTTTCCCAAGAGGATGACAAAATTTTGTCATTAACCAAACGTTGCTCAGTTTCTACAGAACTCCTTTCCAACTAGGCCTGACTTTTGGACTTCCCTGTTCCTCTCTGCATGGTCCAATTTTAGCAAAATTCCCCACAAACAATTAGCCAGGATCCCCCATCCTCTGTATCTGATCACCCTGATCTGCCTTCAGTAAGAATCCTGTGAGGTTGGTTTAGCCAGAATCCAGCCAGAATCTTAGTCCTGAAGTTTCCTCCTAGTTAATTCCCCACAGACCCCCACCCTGCTCTGTGGCTATAAATTCCCACCTGTCTCTGCTATATTTGAAGTTGAGCCCAATCTCTCTCTCCCCCACTGCAAAATTCCACAGCAGTGCTCCCGATACCTGTCAAGATCGTCCCCCACCCTTGAATAAAGTTTTCCTTACTGTGCATTAACAAGTGTCATTGAATAATTTTTTCTTTAACGAGAGATAAATTACGTATGTCCACACAAAGACTTATACAAGAATGTTCATAATAGCCTTATTCATGATAGCCAAAAACTGGAAACAAACCACATGCCATCAATTTATGAACACAAAAGGCTGTTGATACATATTGCTAAATTGCTTTCCCTACCAGTTCTACAAACGTGTAACTCCTACTTTTTAGGAAAGTGTCCACTTGCACCTTAATATTTCTAATTCTTTATATTTTGATAGCCGCTTAAACATCTCTTCCACAGCCTTATGCACTCTCTTCTGTCTAATCCGCACTTTGTAGTTCTTACTGCTCATAACATGTTTTTCTTCCATCACGTATGTGGGCAAATACAAGGGTATCAGAAAACTCCCGGAGGACAAGAAAAATCTCATTTTTCTTCTACCTCCAAGCCTGTAGTCCTGTGCGTATTTCATGCCTTCACTCAAGGAACATCTACTGAGTCCACACAATGGACCAGTAACTGAGACAGGCCCATTAGGCACTCAAAAAAGCACCCTGAAGTGAACACCCCTAGTTTCAGATCTCCTGCTGAGAGGTCTCAGTTAACATTCATGCCCGTTTTAAATTCCCGATTGAGACTTTCTCCTTTCTTGGTGTGCTAATCTGGAAACAAAAGCTCTGAAGTTTAGCCTCTAAAATGTATTGATTATGTAAACGCCGCTCCGTTGGCCCTGTTAATTCCTTAATATGCACCCCAGCGCCACACTTGGGGGACTTCAGATGGGGATGGTAAAATCTAGGGCGGCCTGGTAGTGCGGGGACTTTTCTCGGGACTGTAAAGGCCGCCAGGGTAATGAATGTCTTCGTGAGGACACCAGTGTAATGAATATGCAAATCGCGGCAGCCAGAAAGCATCGCAGGTCCGGGAGCGCCCGCGGCCCCCACTCCACCGAGCGGGTCCCAGACTCACGCAGGACCCGGGCTCGCCTCTCTCGCGGGGCCTGGGGCCGAGCCCCGCCCCGCCTGGCCCCGCCCCGCCCCGCCCCGGCGCGCGCCCGGAGCCCCGCCCACCCGGCAGGAAAGGGCGGGCCCGGCGCCACCGCCCACGCTCTCTCCTGTCGTCTGACTCGGGCCGGCGCGGCGCGCGAGCAGCATGAGCGCGCGCCCGGACCGGTGACCGCCGCGGCGATGGACTGCGGCTTCGTCGCGGGCGGGAGGCCGAAGAGTCCGCCGGGCCGCCGGCGGCTTCTAGTCTTCCTGCCGTCAGGCCGCTGCGGAAGTCCGGGCGGCCGCGGCGTCTCGGCGCGCCACTGCCCGTCAGCGCTGTCTGTGGGTCTGGGGGCGCTGCGGTTTCGTGGCCCGGCGGCCCGCGGCGGCGCGTCACGTGCCTCCCCGCTGCTCCTCCTCCTGCTCGTGCCCTCCCCGCGCCTGGCCGCCGTCGCCCCGCGTCGGCCCCTCGCGGACCGGGAGAGCTCGCGCCCGCGGCCCTCGGCCCCCGCGGCCGGCCGCGGCGGCGCGGGGAGGTACCTGGCGGGCCTCGCCCCGGGCCTCGCCTGGGCCGCCGGCGCCCTCCACCTGTGCCGCGGCCGCGTGGCCGCCCTCGCTTCGTCCAGGAGAGGTGAGGGCCGCACGGCCGGGGTGGGGGCAGCAGGGGGCTCGCCTCGCCGGGCAGGGGGCGGGGCCAGCCTGGGCTGGGACCTTCCGGGCTGGGCGGGTGGGGGAGGCTCGGCGACCCAGAGGTCGGGTCAGCCTCGGTCGCCGGGCTCCTCTGGGGCGTGGGACGAAGGTCTGTCTGCCTCCGCCCTGGTGACCCGGAGTCCTGGGCACAAGCGTGTGGAGCGCAGTTGGCCGGGATGCCGGCAGGGCGGTGCGCGCTGGGCAGGGCGCTGGTGCTCGCCGGGGTGTGGAGCCGCTGGGCGGGCGCCGGTGACGCGTCCCTCGTGTCGCCGCTCGGGTGCGGGCGGCTGCGGGGGGGGGGGGGGCTTGCGAGATTGAGGAGCGAAGCTCTAGGAACTGCAATTTCACTTCCGACTCTAGTGGCTTTATGAACTCATTGAACCCTAGTTGCCTGTTCTGTGCTTGGCTGGCGCTTTTTGGGTACTTGGCACACATCAGTTAGCAAAATCTCGGACCTACACTGTAGCAGAGGAGACGATGTAGGTAGGTAGCTATAATTTATATATACACGTGTGATTTACATATAATCTGTGTGCGGAAGTGATAAATACCGTAGGAAAAAAATGGAGGTGATAAGGGTTAGGGAGTGAGGCCTCCAGCAATGAATTTAAATGGGGTTAGCAGAATAGTTCATACTGAGAAGGTGGCATTTGAAGGAGGTGAGAGCGGTCACTGCCCTGCATAAAGATTAGGGAAGTCTGAAACAGTCTCAATTTATTAGATAGCACATTGTTGATGAAAATATCATTCGGGGTAATCTTTATCAGCAAAGGGCAAAAATATCACTTTGGGTGGCCTCATATCAATAGCTGTCAGTAACCACACTGATGGCAGTTAAGGAGCAACCATCAGCCAAAGAGTTTTGTTCCTTTACTTCCAGCCTAGTGATTTGTTTGGTGCCAGGGTTCTCAGTAGGGCTACTGAGACTTAAGGATGTTATGAATAGCAAGTCTGTACTTGGTTTCCTCCGTTCAAGGCTAACTTTGGGCTGCTTTTGATATCCTGAAGGTCCTTCCAAAGGAGAATTACGCATTGCACTTTAACATAGCTCAGTTCACTTGCTTCCTGGTTATTGGTGGGAATTCCTAGTTCTTGGGCCTCACTTTGTTGTCACAATAAAGGAGGAAAAATGAGTCAGAGGCATGCTCCTCCTCAGGCTTCGCCCTTTGACAGAAGGCAAGATGGCATTCAGCTTCCATCGGCAGGGGTTGGCCGGCCAGGTGAGAAGTGGCCAGGGCTTTTCTCCACTTTTCAGATGACAGTACATATTTTGTTGAAGTAAGCTTGCAGTTGAACTGAATTCCAGTTGTTTTGGACAAGAAAAAAATCTGCAGCATCTAAATTGGAATTAGCTCTTGTTTAGAAAATAGTCACGATAGTTTATTTTGGGGATGTATATGTTGTGTGTGTGTGTGTGTGTGTGAGAGAGAGATATGTTTTAAATCACACAAATGATTAATTTGTTCTTAGAAACAAATTTGGTACTAGAAAAATCCCATCACTCTTCACCAGCCAGTTCTAGACTCAAATATTTTCAAGCTCTCTGATCCATGGGACAGTTGAGCACAGTTTAAAAAGATGGGCGGGTTAGCCTTTAGAGAGCCACTTGAGAGATCCGTTCATTCATTCATTCACCACCACTGTTTCTCAAGCTAGGTCTGTTCTGTGATCAGGCAGACATTTGGAGTCTCTTCACCTGGAGGCCAGTTTTGTCTCAGTACTGGGGATAAAGAATGAAAAAAGAGGGGCTAGATTTAACTGAGCTAATTTATGTAAAAAGGGAAGATCATAGGTGAAGAGGTGGATTTCAGATTTTCTTTCTAGACCATCTCATGATCCAGATCACAGAGTTCTCTTAACAAAATTATTTCTGGTCTGCAGTCTGCCAGGCCCTCTGCTAGATGCTAACAGTGTAAAAATGACTAAGACTGACTGCTCTTGGGATGTTTGGACTAGTAGATGATACAGATGTGGAAACAATATGGTAAGCGGTGTGATAGAGCTATCTGAGCTGTGCTGCGAACACAGATAAGGAGCAATCAAGGCGGCCCTCTGACCTGGGTGGAACTAGCAGACCGAACCACTCAGTATAGCATAATGCCCTGCCTGGAACATAATGTTTGCTTAGCAAATTGTAAAATTAAATGAAGAGGGGTAAAATGATGCTTAAAATTGGCCAGTCGAAAAAGGGGGGCAAGCCAGACTTAAGGATGGAGTACCAAGGTATACAGGTACAGGACACAGAATAACTTAGGTGGCTGGAAAGAAAGCTGAAAGGGTAGGTGTGGGCTAAATTAGGACAGGCTTTGTATTTGTGTGCCTTGCCAAGGACCTGATACTGTAGGCTAGTGGTTCTCTGAATATAAGGGCCTTTTTTTTTTTTTTTTTAATAAACCATTTAACTCACACATACATGTAACAGTTACTGCATTTTATATTTTGTCAGTCTGCAAACAGCGCTTGGTACAAAATGATTGGATTTCTTATACTTACCTTGACACTGACTGTGACCTTCTTTCCAAGGTGGGAACCACTGCTGTAGGCTTATAGACAAACATCAGATCTGTAGGGTTCTGTCCATGTCACGTTTTTTGCTTACATGCAATTTCCTTTAGAGTGTTTAGAGGTGAAGGATTGACAGTAGGAGCTGATTAGCTGAAGTATCTTTCTCGTCACTTAGGGGATTTACCTTAGGGGATTTTCAAACTTTGAGTTAGTAGTGACTATTTTTTCTTCTACCACTCTTCTACAAACCTGGCATCATAGAAAAGTAGGACAAATATGTAGCAAAATTTTCATATAGCTGTGTTTAATACATTTAAATGAAAGTTTTTATTTTATATTGTCCATCTCTTTTTTTTCTTCTGCTGTCCAAATGTCTTTTACAGTATGATTGTAATAGTAAGGAGCTATTGTGTTTAAACGTCCTTTCTGGACAGAATTGCTAGTTGGCATTGCAGTTGTTACATATTTTTTTTAAACTGTTTTTATGGTTCATGAAATACAAAAGCCAGAGAACCCTTACCATGCTACCTTCTTCAAATGAGCACTTGAAACAAGTTTACAAAATGAGTTGGATCTGTGGCTAAATGCACAGAAATTCAGAGGAAAGGTTAACATACAAATTGTTAGAACACATCTCTCTAAAGATAGGCTTTTGTAGAGACATCACAAAGAAAACTATTGACCAGTACCTCTTATGAATAGAGACAAAAATCCTCAACAAAATACTCAGCAAATCAAATCCAGCAATATGTAAAAAAGGAGTATACATCATGACCAAAGGGGATTCTATCCCAGGAACAACAGGCTCATTTAACATCTGAAAATCAATTCCTGTACCACACCATATTAAAAAAAAAAAGAAGAAGAAACTATGTGATCATCTCAAAAGACAAAGAAAAGGAATTTGGCAAAATTCAGCACCCCTTCATGATAAAAAGCACTTGACAAATTAGGAATAGAAGGGAACTGCCTCACTGATAAAGGACATCTGTGAAACACCCACAGCTAACATCATACTTAATAGTGAAGGATGCATGCTTTCCCTCAAAAGGTCAGGACTTGCAAGGATGTCTGCCATCACCAGCCATGCAGCATTGTACTAGAAGTTCTAACCAGTAGCATCGAAAAGAATAAAGTACTTAGGGATAAATTTAACAAAAAACTCACAGAACTTATATGATTAACCACCCTTGAACAATACAGGGCTGAGGAGTGCCAACTCCTACACAGTTGAAAATCTGTGTATAACTTTTGACTTCCCCAAAATTTAACTACTAATAGCTTACTGTTGGCCAGAAACTTTACCATAACAGTCAGTCACTTAACACATATTTTATATATTATATGCGTTATATTCTGTATTCTTAGAATAATGGAAGCTAGAGAAAAGAAAACATTATTAAGAAAATCATAAAGAAGAGGAAATACCGTATTGTAAAAAATCCGTGTATAAGTAGACCCATGTAGTCTAAACCTGTGTTCAAGGGTTAGCTATAGTGTGAAACCTATATAACATTATTAAAGGAATTAAAGACATAAATAAATGGAAAAACATCCTATGTTCATGGATTGGAAGACTGTGCTCCACCCAAATTGATCTATAGATTTAAAACAATCTCTCTCAAAGTTTCAGGTGGCTTCTCGGTAGAAATTAATAAGCTGATCTAAAATACATACGGAAATGCAAGGGACTCAGAATGGCCAATGCAATCTTGAAAAGGAATAAAACTAGAAGACTCCTTTCCTGATATAAAAACTTACAACAGAGCTAAAAGTAATCAAGAAAATGTGTCACTGGCATAAAGACAGATATAAATCAGTGGCATAGAATGGAGAACCCAGAGATGATTTACAGTCAGCTGATTTTTGACAAATTCCAAGATAATGCTGAAACAACTGGATATCCACACGCAAAAGAAGGCAAACCCTCATCTCACACTACATAAAAGTTAACTCAAATGGATCAGAGACCTAAAAGTAAGAGCTGAAACTGTAAAACTCTTAAAAAAAAAAAAAATTGGTGTAAATCTTTGTGTTCTGGAATTAGCCAGTAGTTTCTTAGATATGACACCAAAAGCACAAGGAACAAAAATAAATAAATTGGACTTCGTTAAAATTAAAAACTATTGTGCTTTGAAAGGCACCATCAAGAAAGTGAAAGCCAGCCCACAGAATGGGAGAGAATATTTGCAAATTACATATAAGATAAGGAACTTGTATCTAAAATGTATAAAGAAGGGTATCTGGGTGGCTCAGTCAGTTAAGTGTCTGCCTTCTGCTCAGGTCATGATCCTGGAGTTCCAGGATCAAGTCCCGCATCGGGCTCCCCGCTCAACAAGGAGTCTGCTTCTTCCTCTGAGCCTCCCCCTTCTCGTGCTTCCTTTTCTCACGCTCTCTTGCTCTCTCAACTGAATAAAACCTTTAAAAAATAAAAATAAACAAAATAAAATATGTAAAGAATTATTTTTTTAAATTTTTATTTATTTATGTGAGAGAGAGAGAGAGTGAGCAAGCAAATGAGAGAGAGAAAAAGCACCAGCCAGGGGAGGGGCAGAGAAGCAGACTCCCCGCTGAGCAGGAATCCTGACCCAGGACTCTGGGATCATGACCTGAGCCTAAGGCAGACACTCAAGCGACTGAGCCACCCAGGCGACCCTAAAATGTATAAAGAATTCTTTTTTTTTTTTTTTTAAAGATTTTATTTATTTATTTGAGACAGAGAGAATGAGAGACAGAGAGCATGAGAGGGAGGAGGGTCAGAGGGAGAAGCAGACTCCTTGCCGAGCAGGGAGCCGGATGCGGGACTCGATCCAGGGACTCCAGGATCATGACCTGAGCCGAAGGCAGTCGCTTAACCAACTGAGCCACCCAGGCGCCCCAGTATAAAGAATTCTTAACAACCAACTCAATAATAAAAAGATAACCCAAATTTTTAAAAGATTTATTTATTTGTTAGAGCATGAGCAGGAAGAGCAGAGGGAGAGAGAGTCTTAAACGGACTCTGCCCTGAGCTTGGAGCCCGATGCGGGGCTCAGTTTTACAGCCCTGAGATCACTACCTGCGCTGAAACCAAGAGTTGGACACTTAACCAACTGTGCCACCCAGGCACCCCAAAAGATAACCCAATTTTTTTAAATGGGCAAAGGGTCTGATTAGATGTTTCTCCAAAGATACACAGATGGCCAATAAGCAGTGAAAAGATGCTCAACATCATTAGGCATCAAGGAAGTACAAATCAAAACTGCAATGTGCTATCTCTGTGTTTATTGCAGCATTATTTACAATAGCCAAATTATGGAAGCAGCCCAAGTGTCCATCGATAGATGAATGGATAAAGAACAGGTGATATATATATATATATATATATATATATATATATATATATACACATACACACACACACACACACACACACACCACTATTCAGCGATAAAAAAGAATGAAATCTTGCTATTTGCAATGATGTGGTAGAGCTGGAAAGTATGCTAAGCAAAATAAGTCAGAGAAAGACAAATACCATATGATTTCACTCATGTGGGATTTAAGAAACACCTGAACAAAGGGAAAAAATGAGAGACAAGCCAAGAAACACTCTTAATTATAGAGAACAAATAAGTAAATACCATAGTTGAAGAGAGATCTAAAAAATAATAATTAAATTGCAATGGGATACCACTTTATACCCATTAGGATGGTTATAATAAAAAAGACAGTAACAAGTGTTGATAATGTAGAGAAATTGGAACCCTCAGACACTGCTGTTGGGAATGAAAAATGTGTAGCCACTTTGGAAAGTAGTCTGGCATAACCTTATAAACACAGAGCCACCGTATGATGCAACAATTCAGTTCTTGGGTATATACCCAAGAGAACTGAAAACTTGTTCACACAGAATCTCGTACACAAATGTTCCCAGCAGCATTGTTCATAGCAGCCAAGAAGTGGAAACAACTCAGATGTCCTTCAACTGATCACTAGGTAAGAAAATCGGTATATTCCTAAAACAGATTTCAGCAATAAAAAGCTATAAAGTACACAATTATAAGGTGGATGAACCTTGAAAACCTCACCTAAGTGAAAAAAACCAGTCACACAATACCACATCCCTTACGATTCTATTCATAAGTAATGCACAGAGTAGGCAAATCCATAAAGACAGAAAGTGGATAAGGGGTTGCCTGGGGTTGAGGGAGTAGGGAGATTGGGGCATGATAGCTAAAGGGTATAGGGTTTCTTTTTGGGATGATGAAAATGTTCTAGAGTTGACTGTGCAGAAGATTGCAGAACTCTATAGTTAAAATCAAATTGAACACTGAAATGGGTGAATTGTATGGTATGTGAATTTCATGTCATAAAGCCCCAACCAGGTAGGCTTTTGAGGTATGCCATATTCCTTCATGGCTTTTCTTTACCATCGGATCCTGTTTTGAGCCTAATTGTCCTTTCCATTCTAGAGCTGAGCCTCTCTGCTGGGAGCCTGCAGCTGGAGCACAGCAGAGATCTGGACCACAAAAGGAGAGATTTCACCTCTTTCGGGAACAAGAAGCTCTACTTTGACACCCATGCCTTAGTGTGTTTACTGGAAGAAAATGGTAATCCTTTTGTGGGTCACTCGGAAAAACACTTAGTTCTCATGATCTTATCTAACTTCTATTTCTCTTTGGCGTTTAAGTCTACAGATACACTCTTTTGGTCAATTTCTGTTTTTTTAAGTTCTTATTTTTTGTTTAAGGACAATTTTGCTTCCGCCAGTACAGTTGAGAGACTTTTGCACACATTTTTCTTTGTCGGTGAGAAGTGTATTTTTATAACATCCCTCTGGAGGTAGAGTGTTACAGATAAAAATTTAGACACAAGTTAGCAAAACTCAGGAATGGTTCCTATGACAGCTGCCTGACGCACAAAGTGGTAGTTTTGTTACTGTGCATGTTGTGTGCTTTTAAAATTGTTATGAAATGAAAATGTTGCTGAGCAGCAATTGCTAATAATTTCAGCTTGTGGTTTTTTTTAATAGTCCAACTAATATTTTTCCTTATTGCTGTTAATTAATGTAAAAGATGCTCTAACAGACATGACTTATTGAAAGTGCATTCAGTACATAGGTAACATTCTCACTGAATCTTCTCTAGACAGATAGGCCGATTCTAGTTTTCCGTATTGTTGCTCTTGACAACACGATAGATCTTTCCCCAGCTGTACGTGTTCATATCTGCAGAGCCACCCTCTGTAGCTGTGCTTTGCTTGCCCAGGACAAGCAGATGGAGTGAGCTCTGTGCTTGCACTGGGGAGTTAGAAGCTCTGCGTCAGGCTCTGCCAGGACCCAGCTGCAAAGCCAGGCAGTTCTCTCGTCTTTCCCAGTTTCTTTTTTCTTTTTTTTTTAGATTTTATTTATTTATTTGAGACAGAGAGCGCACAAACAGGGGGCAGGGGCAGAAGGAGAGGGAAAAGCAGGCTCCCTGCTGAGTGTGGAGTCCAATGCAGGGTTGATCCCAGGACCCCGAGATCATGGACCTGACCTGAAGGCAGACGCTTAACCGACTGAGCCACCCAGGCGTCCCCGTCCTTCCCGGTTTCTGTCTCCTCATCTCATCAGCAGGGTGGGCACAATAAGAATTCCAAAGATTCCTTTGAGTATTAAAGGAAATACAGTGTACTTGAGTGCACTTTGGAAAAACTGTTAAGTACCGTATCATAATTTTCATTGCTTTCCTTCTCAAACTTGAAACATTAGGCCTTTTTTTCACCAAAACTTCTTTCAGCTCAGAATTTAAAAAAGAAAAGTGGAATGGAGAAGAGAGGCATCAGAAATTATGTGGATAAGCAGAAGTCTTCCTGCTTTTTCCTTTTTTCTGTGGACCTTGTATTTTTGCATTCAAAGTAACCCATTGTAAAAAGCCGTATTCGAGAGAATGGGGGCGTTTCACTCCACATTAGGGTTTGACTATGTAGGGGAGCATCATAAATCTTGTTAAGTGGCAAGGTAGCGGCAGTGGGCTCGAGATGGCCCCAGATCTTTCTCCCATTAACAGGGGAGGGGGGGGTATTTCCCCTCCCCCACCGAAAAATCTATTTATTTACTTTTGATAAATAAAAATCGCGTTCATGTTGAATGTTTAAAGTGTGATATTTCGACAGATGTACTTCCTGCTTTTCTTGATTTCAAACCTTGATGCACGAGTCTTTGCATATCTCAAGACTGGTGTTGTAAGGACCCCGCTGAAGTGTAGGGCATGAGGCCTCTTAAGTGAATGATGAATCTAAGATGCTGCAGGGTGAGGCCTGGAAGGACCTGTCCAGGAGCACTCCCACCTTCCATCCTTGTCTTCCCCAGAGCTACGTCTCCTGCTTCACAGAACTTCTGGTCTGTCTGTAATCTCTCTAACCCTGATCGTGTCTTGTTCTCTCGTTCCTACAAAGCATTATTTTGTATCTGGTAACCCTTTAGGTTTTCAGGCCTAACTTCTACTTTTTCTTATCCCTTTCTCCTCCCACAGGTGGTTATAAATTATAAGGCTGTGGAGTTTATTATCAGCCTAAGTTCTCCTCTGGTCTCTTTTTCTTTTCTTCATAATTGCCAAACCTAACTATGTTTAACTATGAACGCTTCTTCATAAAGTTTTAAAAATTACAAGACACATTTTCAGGCAGAAAAGAAACAGGAAAAAATATTCTGAATCCCAGTACCCTAGAGCAAACCAGTGTAACAATTGGATGGGTAACCTTTTGGATGATTTTTCTAGATGCAGATGACCCACGTGTTGAAAATCAAAGGATTTTGAATAAATGAAGGGAGTAGGTCTTTGGAGGTCTTTTTATCTCTTTTAAATCTTTGTCTTTGTTTCTTAAGTATAGTTAGGGGCCGCCTGGGTGGCTCAGTCCATTAAGACTCTTGATTTTGGCTCAGGTTATGATCTCAGGGTCTTGAGATTGAGCTCCAGGCTCCGTGCTCAGCAGGGAGTCTGCTTGAGATTCTCTCTCCCCCTCTCCCTCTGCCCCTCCCCCCACTCGTGTATGTGTGCACACGCGTGAACTCACTTTCTCAATAAAATTTTAAAAAATTATAGTCTGTGCTTAATCTCATCCAAATTGTATCAGTTATAATTTTATTCAAGCAAATGTGCCTTTAATTACTAGAATCAGTAGATTCTTCTGTAGTTCTTATGGATGGAAGTATTTAATAGAAAAAAATTACTTTCCAGGGACTTGGTTTCAAGCATTTTATTAGAAGTTCCAATGTGAAATATAAATTACTATCTAAAGTTATTTTTTATTTCCAATTTTATTTTTTTATTTTTTAATTTAAATTCAATTAATTAACATAGGGTATTATTAGCTTTCCAGGTAGTACTATCTAAAGTTACTAAAAGTAGTAACACTGCTGAGTTAGATCTTTCAATTCAGCATCATTTACTGAGTATCAAATATGTTTTTTTCCAGCCTTGCCCCTCTCTGCAAGTGACCGAAGAGACTTGTGGAGGAAAAATAAAAGAACAGATTTTGCCTTTTAACATAAGATAAATTAACAGCTAAATTACTAGTTATCTTTATATGGTCAATGATTTGATGGCTTTATGCTGGATGTGAAATAATTGAGCTTTCCTACTTAAGTAAATTATTCTTTACTAACGTGTACATTTTAAAATAAGGAAATCACGTTATTTTGGAAAATTTAGGCCAGGGGGAAGGAAATAAAGATTACTTAGCAGTAAATTGCATCTGTAATTTTGATCTTGCTTTCCTTTCCTTGACCCCACGTTGCAGGCTTCCTCTACGTCATGAGATATTGTCAGGAAATATGATTTTTTGCAGCTAGGTAGGACGGTAGAGGAGACCAGCCCAGCCCTTTATCTTTACATGAAGAAACAGATATGTCATGCTTGTCCAGAGTGACAGACACATCATAGCCTGGGACTCCAGTCTTTCTGAATTCAAACATTTTCTCCTCTTCTGTGAAGGGTTTTTTCTCTTTTTTTCCCAACAAATGGAGTCTCCAGAGTGTGATTATCTTTGTGTGTTTGCTTAGGGTTCTCCACCCAGCAAGCAGAAATCACTGTCTCTGCATTGGTCAAGATCACGGATGCCAACATGGATATTGTCTACAAGGATATGGTCACCAAGATGCAGCAGGTTAGCTTTGTCGGGGAATGGTAGCAAACTTAAAGTCTAAAGCTGGGATGTTATTTGTTTGTTTTTTGGGTTTTTTTTTAAAGATTTTATTTATTTGACAGAGAGAGACACAGCGAGAGAGAGAACACAAGCAGGGGGAGTGGGAGAGGGAGAAGCAGGCTTCCCGCCGAGCAGGGAGCCCGATGCGGGGCTTGATCCCAGGACCCTGGAATCATGACCTGAGCTGAAGGCAGACGCTTAATGACTGAGCCACCCAGGAGCCCCATGGGATGTTATTTGTAATATGTATTTTTGGATAATATTCTATTGAAAAGCATATAGTACTTTTTTTAAAGATTTTATTTGAGAGAGAGAGAACACAAGCTGGGGGAAGGGCAGAGGGAGAAGCAGACTCGGGAGCCTGATGCAGGACTCAAAGGCAGGTGTTTAACCGACTGAGCCACCCAGGCGTCCCACAAAGCATATATTACTTCTAACCATAGTTGAGAGACAAATGATTCCAGTGTTATAAAAAGTAATTTATTCGAGGGGCACCTCCGTGGCTCAGTCAGTTAACCATCCGACTCAGTCTCAGCTCAGGTCTTGATCTCAGGGTCATGAATTCAAGCCCCACGTTGGGCTCCTCACTGGGCATGGAGCCTACTTTAAAATATATATATATTTTTTTTTTTTTCTTTTTTTGAAGCTATTTTGTCAACTGTTGTAGATTCATGTTGGAAAACTCAACTATGCTTGAAAATGACCTATTCCAGTCCACCATACTTAACAAAGGGAGATGTGGCTGGAATTATAGCAGTGTGTTCTTGAGCTGCTGGTCCTCAGACTGCCACCCTTTGAACTGGCTCACTTGATGATGATACTGGACTTGAGTCTTTATTCTTTTCCTTTCTTCATTCTGGAATAGAGGATGACCTTGCTGAACCTCTCTTCTCGTGTCCATATTCTCCTGGTTTCTCACTAATATGATTCCAGGTAAGAGGCAGACATCCTAGGCCAGCCTAGGTTATATGTTTTGTTTTTCTTTTCCTAGGAGATCACTGTTCAGCAAATAATGTCTCAGATTGCCAGCGTGAAAAAAGATATGATTATTTTGGAGAAGAGTGAATTTTCAGCCCTCAGAGCAGAAAATGAGGTAAAACTAAAGAGCCACTCATATTAAGATGCTCACTATCGAGACATTGAGACATAAATGCACAGAAAAAGGGCACAAGTTAGATGTGTTTTCACCAAGTGTCCACCACCAGATCAAGAAGTAGAACATTACTGGCGCCCCAGAAGCTTGCTAATGCCCTGCCAGGAAGACCGCTATCCTGACCTGCGTCGCCGTTGACTGGTTTTGCCTTTTCCAGGACTTCATCTGGGGGAATGCTGTGGTGCGTCTTACAGTAGATCAGTCTTGCTCAGTATCTGTCATTCGGTAGTATTTTATGAATGGGCCACATTTTTCTACTGTGATGTACACTTGACCCCTGAACAACATGGGTTTGAGCTGAACAGGTCCACTTACACAGTTCAGTAAATGTTTTCTCTTCCTTAAAATTTTCTTAATAACATTTGCTTTTCCCTGGCTTACTTTATTCTGAGAAGATGGTATGTAACACATACAACATTCAAAATATGTGTCATGTTACCAGTAAGGCTTCTGGTCAACGGTGGGCTACTAGTAGTTGAGTTTTCGGGGAGTCAAAAGTTATGTATGGAGATTTTTAACTGGGTGGGATCAGTGCCCCTAACCCCCTGCGTTGCTCAAGGGCCAACTGCATATTAGAATTGTTTCCAGCTTTTGGTTATCACAAAGTGCTGCTACAAAATATCCCTTGGTTTCTTGTTTTTTTATTTTTTTTTTTTAATTCAGTTTAGTTAACATACAGTGTATTATGAGTTTCAGGGGTAGAATTTAGTGATTCATTACGTACATATAATACCCAGTGCTCATTACATCAAGTCCCTTCCTTAATGCCCATCACCCGGTTCCCCCATCCCTCCCGCCCTCTCCCCTCCAGCAACCCTCAGTTTGTTCCCTATGATTAAGAATCTCTTATGGTTTGCCTCCCTCTCTGTTGTTATCTTATTGTATTTTTCCTTCCCTTCCCCTGTGTTCATCTGTTTTGTTTCTTAAATTCCACATGAGTGAAATTATGGTATTTGTCTTTCTCTGATGAACTTACTTCACTTAGCCTAATACCCTCTAGTTCCATCCACGTCATTGCAGATATATCCCTTGGTTTCTAAAGTGTGGCATAGAAAAATTGACAAGGCAAGAAACAACAAATGTTGGACAGGTTATGGAGAAACCCTCTTACACTGTTGGTGGGAATGTAAGTTGGTACAGCCACTTTGGAAAACAGTGTGGAGGTGCCTCAAAAAATTAAAAATAGAGCTCCCCTATGACCCAGCAATTGCACTCCTGGGTATTTACCCCAAAGACACAGATGTAGTGAAAAGAAGGGCGATATGCACCCCAATGTTCATAGCAGCAGTGTCCGTAATAGCCAAACTGTGGAAAGAGCCGAGATGTCCTTCAATAGATGAATGGATAAAGAAGATGTGGTCCATATATACAATGGAATATTACTCAGCCATCAGAAAGGATGAATACCCAACTTTTACATCAACATGGATGGGACTGGAGGAGATCATGCTAAGTGAAATAAGTCAAGCAGAGAAAGTCAATTATCATATGGTTTCACTTATTTGTGGAACATAAGGAATAGCATGGAGGACATTAGGAGAAGGAAGGGAAAAATGAAGGGGGGGAAATCGGAGGGAGAGACGAGCCATGAGAGACTGTGGACTCTAAGAAACAAACTGAGGGTTTTAGAGGGGAAGGGGGGTGCGGGTATGGGTTAGCGCGGTGATGGGTATTGAGGGCACGTACTGCATGGAGCATTGGGTGTTATATGAAAACAATGAATCATGGATCCCTACATCAAAAACTATTGATGTATTGTATGGTGACTAACATAACATAATAAAATAATTTTTTTTTTAAAAAGTGTGGCATAGGGGTTCAGCATTGAAGTAAGTGCTGTGTTTGCATCCTTCCTTTTATTTTCAGTCTTAGCTAAAGTCTCATAAAGGAAGTCCATTTATTAGCAGTTCATCTTAGTCCTGTGAGAGGCCTTCTAGCAAAAGATCCCTTTTGCTAGAAAAGAGTAGTTTGAAACTCTCACATTTGCCCTTGAAATTGGCTATTTGAAGGCAGAATTTGTTAAAAGAAAAATTGAAGGAGGTATTAAAGACAGAAGGGCCTCTGGAGGCAAACGTGTATGTTAAAAACAATTGTGTTACTAGGGCGCCTGGGGCGCTCAGTGAGTAAGCCTTCGACTCTTGATCTTGGCTCAGGTCTTTATCTCAGGGTCATGAGTTCAAACCCTGCATAGGGCTCCACGCTGGGGAGCCTACTTAAAAAAAGAATTAAACTGTATTACTGATTTTATGTAACCTTTGGGATGGATTAAAACTGATCTCAAGACAGGCGCATGCGTTGTTTTTTGTTTGTTTTTAAGATTTTTGTTTATTTATTTGACAGAGAGAGAGAGACAGCAAGAGAGGGAACACAAGCAGGGGGAGTGGGAGAGGGAGAAGCAGGCTTCCCGCCGAGCAGGGAGCCCGATGCGGGGCTTGATCCCAGGACCCTGGGATCATGACCTGAGTCAAAGGCAGACACTTAACAACTGAGCCACCCAGGCGTCCCAGTAGACGCATGCGTTGTAATACCGTCCTGGCATGACAGATCGTCTGCTCCTAAGACTTTTCAGCTCATGTTTCATTCTGAATGCAGCTAGAACTGTGCAAAAAACATGTTCTAATGTAAGTTTATTACCAAGTTTTATGTATTTTTTTCTAACCTTCTAGCCATATCCTTGACTTGTTTTTGTGGTTTTTTTTAAATGTGTTTTTAGAAGATAAACGTGGAACTACATCGGTTAAAACAACAAATAATGGTGAGACCCTCACTCCTCCTTGCATGCTTGTTGGCAGTTAACGTAAACATAGTAATAAATACAATGTCAGAAGTTTTTTAGGTGTTCTTAAAAACGTAATCCTATGTTAAATAGTTGTGTAATATGTCTGGAAAGTACACACTGAAAGATTTAGCTGAGAATAATGAATAAATTGGTGATGTCTGTAACCAAATTCATTAAGAAAATTATGTTCTAGGATAAAGGAAGTCCTCTTTAAATTAAAAAGTGTTGAAGTTGCCCCATATGGAGCCTTTAGGTTCTGTTAGAACAGACTGGCTTTAGAGAATTTCATGTGATTTCAAAATGCTGACTGTACCAGCTGTTCAATTTCTTTTTTTTTTTTTAAGTGGAAAGGACATGGATGTTAAGGTAGAGAAGGCTCTGACGAGTGTCAGAAAGAAGGCTTTATTTAAACCAGAATTACATATTTTCCTTCTTTGAGTCCATCTCTGCTTTCCAGAGTTGTCCAGGGAACAGCTTCAGTCATAAATTCCATAAGGAGAGTTCACTGGGAATCTCGAGGTTAAAAGCAGTGGTAACCCACTCTGGACTGACTTGAGCATAAGCGGGGGTTATTTGTATATATGACTGGGAAGTCCCAGGCTTCACATCCCAGGCGGGTTTCCATTTCTCACTTTGGATTTCTTTCTCTCTTTGTTTGCCCTCCTGCCAGGATGAAGTGGTCAAGGTCCGAACAGATACCAAGTTAGACTTCAATCTAGAAAAGAGCAGAGTGAAGGAATTGGTAAGTTCCTTTATTATAAACGGAGTGTGAATTCATCTTTTTGCAGGATGGAATGCTCGATCCGGTCTGAGTATATAGACAGGTCACCAGTACCATTAAACGTTTACCTGTGCGTCGTTGTTAGACACAGTTTTCCCTGTAATTGTATTCTGGCTTAGAGCTTAAATTTGATGCTTTCAAAAATAAAATGAAAATCTTGGGAGGCGCCCGGCTGGTTCAGTCGCTAGAGTGTGTGTGACTCTTGATCTTGAGGTAATGAGTAATGAGTTCAAGTTCAAGCCCCACATTGTGTAGAGATTACTTAAAAATAAAACCTTTAAAAAAAAAAATTAAACTCGGGGAGCCTGGGTGGCTCAGTCATTGGGCGTCTACCTTCGGCTCAGGTCATGATCCCAGCTGGGATCAAGCCCCGCATCAGGCTCCCTGCTCCGTGGGAAGCCTGCTTCTCCCTCTCCCACTCCCTCTGCTCGTGTTCCTGCTCTCACTGTCTCTCTCTCTGTGTCAAATAACTAAATAAAATCTTTAAAAAAAAACAACAACTAAACTCTTGGTCAAATCGAGTTTGAATCTCATTTTATTTCAGAGAGAGAGAGACTAAATTATGTGTTACTTAGACATTACAAAAGAAATCAAACCCAGTCTCGCCCTGTGTCCTCTAACTTAAACCTCCACAGGTCCAGATTTTTCAAAAGTTAAGTTGATCATCTGTCTTGAATAATACTAAATTAAATTCTACACTGAAATTCAAGATTAAAAAAATATTTCCATACAGTCTTTTTCAAATTTTAAATAGAGAAATCTTAATGACTTGATCACATTGTTTTGAAATGGAAATTCGAAACTATTTTTTAAGTTATATTAAATTGAAATTTTTAATTAGGAAAAGTACTTCTGTACATTTGTTACCAAAAAGATCTCAGAAGGGGCGCCTGGGTGGCTCAGTCGGTGGAGTGTCTGCCTTCAGCTCAGGTCATGATCCTGAGGTCCTGGGATCGAGCCCCATGTCGGGCTCCCTGCTTGGTGGGGAGCCTGCTTCTCCTTCTCTCTCTGCCCCTTACCCCTGCTCGGGTGTGTTCTCTCTTTCTGAAATAAATAAATAAAAATCTTTAAAAAAATCTCAGAAGGGAAGCCTGGGTGGCTCAGTCGGTTAAGTGTCTGCCTTTGGCTCAGGTCATGATCCCAGGGTCCTGGAATCGAGTCCCGCATTGGGCTCCCTGCTCCGCGGGGAGCCTGCTTCTCCCTCTGCCTCTGCCTCTGCCTCTCTCTCTCTCTATCTCTCATGAATAAATAAATAAAATCTTTAAAAAAAAAAAAAAAATCTCAGAAATGTAGGTTGTAAGTAAGCAGAAGGGTACTTGCCCCTGTGGGATCATGTACAGGACCCAAGAAAGCCGTGCAGATGCAGTTCTGCTGTCCTTTTTCAAAAATAATGCGTAGAAGTACTATTTTTTCCCCTCAGAGTTTGCGCAGGAACACTTTTTTTTCAATTTTTTATTTTATTCGGTTATAATCGACGTATACAGCATTACGTTAGTTTCAGGCGTACAGCATAATGATTTGATACTTGTATACACTGCAGAATGGCCACCACCGTAAGTCTAGTTACCATCTGTCATCAAACATAGATAGAAAATTTTTTTCTTGTAATGAGAACTTTTAAGATTTATTCTCTTAGCAACTTTCAAATAGACAGTGTGGTATTATTCACTGTAGTCTCCATGCCCTGCATTCCATCCTAGGGCTTAACTTATTTTACAGCTGTAAGTTTGTACCTTTTGACCCATTTCACCCACCCCACAGCTCCCACCTTTGGCAACCACCATCCTGTTCTTTGTATCTGTGAACTCAGGTTTTTGGGGAATTCTTTTTGGTTTTGGGGGTTTTTTTAGATTTTAGATTCCACATGTAAGAGAGATTGTACAGTATTTGTCTTTCTCATATTTCACTTAGTGTAAGTACTCAAGGTCCATCCATGTTATCACAAATGGCAGGATTTCCTTCTTTTTTATGGCTGACTCATATTCAAGTATATATGTGCACCACATTTTCTTCATCCCTTCATCCATCAGTGGACACTTAATCTTCTGTGTCTCAGCGATTGCAAATAATGCTTCAATGAATATGTATGTTCTAATAAAAATAATGTTGAGTTGCCTCTCGTGACTTTTAGCCCATCTATCTTCTTGTTCAGGCTTTATTTGAATTTGATAGCAATAGTTAGATACCTTCTTTATTCTTAGAATAATGAGAAATAGGCCATGTGAAGCATCTTTTACTAACAGAACTGTATACACATGTAGAAACTGAGTATGCACAGTTGTTCATTGTCCTCTGATTCTTCACAATTTGCTTTTAACCAGAATGTGCTGCAATGATAAATGAAGCTAATACTGAAATTCAAACAAGTACTTAACTCTATTTTGGAACCACTTCTGGATTTTAAGAGTTCAGCTGAGCTTTGTTGTACAAAATCATTATTCCCATGTCACCTGTCTTTCTTGTCTCAAAAACCACTTTTTTTTTTAAAGATTTTATTTATTTGACAGAGCACAAGCAGGGGGAGCTGCAGGCAGAGGCGGAGGGAGAAGCAGGCTCCCTGCTGAACAGGGAGCCCGATGTGGGGCTCGATCCCAGGACCCCGGGATCATGACCTGAGCCGAAGGCAGACGTTTAACGGACTGAGCCACCCAGACGTCCCTCAAAAAACACTTTTCAACCATAAAGATTAATTCACCTAGTATCAGTAAAATATTTAACAGTTGCTAGTGTATGATTAGTCTCTAGAAAAGGAGAAACTTTTTTTTAAATTAGGATGAATAATATTTTAATGCAGTAGTAAAATATTTAAATGAACATAAAATCTCGGACAAATGAAATACCCAGACTTTAAGATATTACTGATTTTTCCTCTTGCCTCAGGTGTCAAGATGGCTCTGCATAACACTGTTATTTAGAATTTTAAATTCAAATTTGTCTAAAATATTCTTTTTTAACCATATTAACATTTTTTTAAAATTTAAATTCAGTTAACAGTTTATTATTAGTTTCAGGGGTAGAGTTCAGTGATTCATCAGTCTTATATATTTCCCAGTGCTCATTACATCACGTGCCCTCCTTAATGTCCATCACCCAGTTATCCCATCCCTCCCACCCCCTCCCCAAGGAGGAGCGTCCCTATGGGTTGTGTACTTAGCAAAAAATCTGAATGCACTTGATTTAGGAAGATGCCCATAGCTAAGGAGGATGTGGGACTGATGGACATGGGTGAGAGCCAGTGAATTGATGGGATTTATTAACCTAGCTGAGAAGTGGTTCTTGGTCATCCTAAACTTCCTAAACTCTGAAGGACAGGACAGCAGTACGTATTGCGTGTGCATTGGTAAAGAGGAGTTACGTGACCCTCCCTCTCCTTGTTGAATACAGTTCTGTTTCAGTTCTATAACTGGTGGTGCTTACAGCCAGTTCAGAGCAGCATGGCCTGTATGTAAGCCGCTTGGGGGGTGCAGGGAGATGGACTCACATAGCTGTGAGTTTAAAAATCACAGCAGTGTCAGGATTTAGGCTTTTCTTTTCCCTTGTGGTCGAGTCAATACTGACTTGGTGAAGACGGGAGTCCAAAAATCCAGTCCGCCCTGCCCTCTTGTGGCCATTCGATGCATAGCTCTTTCCTCATCTGAAACCCTGACATTAAAGATGGAGATGAGCATTCTTTGGTCCTGGACTAGTCCTTGGTTTGGGGTTTTGGGGTTTTTTTTTTCCCCCAATTTTGCAAAAAATTAAAAAAAATTTTTTTTTAATTTCTGAATAATACTGTTTTTATATTCTAGTCCCCTGGTAGTTCCAGGGGAACATTTTATAGCTAGAAAGTTTCTAGATAGTTAAGCATTAATTTTCTCCCCTTTCACAGTGTTAATTTAGTGAAGAATTAAATGCTAATTTTTCATTTAAATTATAGATTTTCATTTGCTCAGTTAAATCTTAATGCCCACTGCTAAGAAGATATGTCTGATTTTGGTCTCAATTCAACAAAATTGCATTAAATCTTTGCATAAACATTAAGGCAAGATACCACTTTGATTCTGAGTAGTGCTAGTCAGTTCCTTTAGTACTACTGGACTGTGACACACCCAAGTGGGTGGTGGTTGTTTAATTAAAACCAACATGTGATGGTTTAGTGTATTTCTTATACCAGTGTATTTATAATTTATCTTTAGGCAATGTCTATGTCACATACAATATTCCTTGAAACTTTTTTTTCCTCAACTTTATAACATTCCTAACTTTGTCTAAACCTCAGGTAGTGACCAATTTTGTGATTGCGATGGGTTAGCTCCCAAACTAAATTGTTCCCCACTTTTTTTAACCCTCTCAAAGCCAAAAAGCACATGACTCAGCAGCCAGGCAAATTGGTCCCCAGGAAATGCTTTTACACTAGTGGGAGGGGCCAAATGGCATCACAGCGAACAGATGACAAGAGCAGGAGAGGTGAAGGGTGACAAAGGGAATCGTATACTGGAACAGTGAGTGGCTAGAAATGAGAAGCTTCAGAAAACACATCTAAAGAAGAGGGGCAAGTAGGCTACTTGATTCCAGAGGTGATGTCTAGTGTCCTCCAGTCTTGGAAGGAACAGAACATTGAAGGCATCAGAGAAGGAGAGGGAGAAAGGAATAAATCAGAATCTGACCTATGTTACACGTTTGTTTGTTTCAGTACTCGTTGAATGAAAGGAAGCTGCTGGAAATGAGGACAGAAATGGTGGCATTGGTAAGAAATGAGACTACTTTTCTTGGTCATTGTGTTCATCTTGGCTTTATCCCATGCATGCATACTGTCCTTTGTAATGATGTGTTAATGGGAGGGGACACTCAAGTTTTGTGTCCTAGGGTGTTTGGTTTTTTTTCTTGTGGTAAAGTACATGTAAAATTACCAGTTGAACCATTTTTAAGTGAACAGTTCAGTGGCATTAAGGACATTCACATCCTTGTACAACCATCACTGGCTTCCATCCGCAGGACTCCTTACATCTTGTAGACCTGAAACTACCTGTCACATGCTCACTCCCATTCCTTCTCCCCCAGTCCCCAGGTGCCGTCATTCTGCTTTCTGTCTCTGTGAATGTGCCTGCTCTAGGGACCTCATAGAAGTGGCCTCATACCGGATTTGTCCTGTGACTGGCTTCTTGCACTCAGCTTAATGTCCTTAAGGTTCATCCATGCTGTAGCCTATCAGAAGTTCCCTCCTTGGAATTCTTAATCACAGGAAACAAACTGAGGGTTGCTGGAGTGGGGGGTGGGGTGGGAGGGATGGGGTGACTGGGTGATAGACACTGGGGAGGGTATGTGCTCTGGTAAGCGCTGTGAATTGTGCAAGACTGTTGAATCTCAGATCTGTACCTCTGAAACAAATAATGCAATATATGTTAAGAAAAAAAAAGAAGAAGGTAGCGGGAGGGGAAGAATGAAGCGGGGGAAATCGGAGGGGGAGACGAACCATGAGAGACGATGGACTCTGAAAAACAAACTGAGGGTTCTAGAGGGGAGGGGGGTGGGAGGATGGGTTTGCCTGGTGGTGGGTATTGAGGAGGGCACATTCTGCATGGACCACTGGGTCTTATGCACAAACAATGAATCATGGAACACTACATCTAAAACTAATGATGTAATGTATGGGGATTAACATAAGAATTAAAAAAATAAATGTAGAAATGATATCAGCAAAAAAAAAAAGTTCCCTCCTTTTTAAGGCTGAATAACGTTCCACCTATGGGTAGACCACATTTGGATTATCCTGTCAGTGGACACTTGGGTTGCCTTTGTCTTTTGGCCATTGTGAATAATGCTGCTATGAGCCTGGTTTTACCAATATCTGTTGGACTCCCTGTTTTCAGTTCTCAGAAGTGGAGGACCCTAGAATTTTTTTGGCACTTAATAGAATATTTGTTTATCTTAATGAAAGTTTAAGTTCCAGTGATTGAAGAATAATAAGGAGTGGTGGTTTTTTAAATTATTCTTCGGACTTATGACCTGCTTTACTTTTTTTCCATCTTTTGTTACTTGGGACCTCCAAAACTTGCAAGACACTTATATCAGAGAATAGTAGAATATTCCTCTGGAATACTTTTCTACTCATCCTTATTCATTACCAGAATTGTTAGCTATAAGGAACTACATACAAGTGATCCTTGAACAGTAGGGAGGTTAGAGACCCTCCCACATAGTCAAAAATCTGCATATAACTTTCAACTCCCCAGAAACTTAACTACTAATAGCCTACTGTTGACTGGAAGCCTTCCTGATAACATAAACAGTTAACACGTATTTTGTATGTTATGTGTATTGTACACTAAAACAAAGTAAGCTAGAGAAAAAATGTTATTAAAATCATAAAGAGAAAATACATTTATAGTACTGTACCATATCAGAACAAATCAGGTGTAAATGGACCCATGCACTTCAAACCCACGTTGTTGAAGGGTCAATTGTACTTACTTGTCCTAGGAAATTTAGTGAATTATTTTTATGCATTAATGAAATATTACAACCCCTTTATAACATCAGTCAAACTCACCACCCTTAGAGGTTGGTTATGTATCTAGTTTAACTGTATTATATTTGGAAAAGAACACAAATAGGCCTTTGGTATAACCAAGCCTCATACTAATAAAATACTTGGTGTTTGAACTATGAAAGAAGAATACCTTAAAATGTGAATAGAAATTGTGTCAAGGCAAACAGAATATCTTTTAGAATATCTTAAGATTGCATTCACTTTTTATTTTCATTTTTTTTTTAAGATTTTATTTATTTGTCAGAGAGAGAGAGCACAAGCAGGGGGAGCGGCAGGTAGAGGAAGAAGTAGACTCCCGGCTGAGCAGGGAGCCCCATGCGGGGCTCGATCCCAGGACCCTTGGACCATGACCTGAGCCGAAGGCAGACGCTCAATGAACTGAGCCACCCAGGCGTCCCTGTGTTCACTTTTTAAAGCAGTTTTTGTATACCTCTCATCGAGAGGAACTTAGAAAGATGAGGTACCTTTATTGTCTTTGAGAACAGACTGCCTTTTAACTTTAACCTTAATTTGTAGAGCAGTCTATCATTTACAGAAGCTTTATATACATTATCACATTTGATTGTCTGTGTGAAGGCAGGGCCAGTGGTGTGTGTTTGTTTTTGGGTTTTGTTGAGGTTTTTTTGCTTTTTTCAAATTAAAGTAAACAGGCCCAGAGATATTACAGGCCTTGATCAACGCAACATAACGTGAGAATAGTAGAACTAAAGCTAAAGCCCATGTCTCCTTAATCGTACCCCATCTTTCCCTGGGACTGTACCCTGCTGGGGAGGGCCTGTAGGATGGTGGGAGCCGAGGGGACGGCAGGTGGATCCCAGGTGGTTTAATGCTGTGAATCTCTTTGTTTTAAAAGCATGCCCAGCAAGATCGCGCTGTCACCCAGACAGACAGGAAGATAGACACTGAGGTCGCTGGCCTCAAAACCATGCTGGAGTCACACAAGCTCGATAACATTAAATATTTAGCAGGTAAGCTCTTTTGTGTCTAGATGGTTCAAACAAGCAGAAAATAAAATTTGGAAAATAAGTCAAAGACAGATACTGCGTTTCATTGATTCTAACACATTTTTTTTTCACATTTTAACATCCCTGAAATTAGAAGGCAGGTTATGATTTCCGATAGATCAAATATCATACGGTAATCGGTAGTTTTTTTTCCTTAGTAGTAAAATGATGTGCTTTACAACCGGTGGAATCTTAAGTTTTATAAGATACTGCCATTGAACTGTAGTTACTTGGAATTTTTTTTTTAGTGAAATTCAAGATGATATTTTATGGATGGAATGAAAGGCTTTTGAGTTGTGATCTTTCTGCTTCAATTGGTGACACTCCTTGTAAGGAGTTATTTTGGTTTTGCAATTTTTGAGCCAAAAGAGGGATCACAGAATTTCTGACATTCATTGAAAAGTTTTGTTGAATGTTGGATACAGTTCTGCTTTGAAGATGATGATTGCAAGGAACAGGGTTTTTTAGCGGGCAGGTGTCTCGTGGAATGTGGCCTATCAGCAGGCTATCTGAGTTTCTTGTGTTAGGAGTGGGTTCCATTGTGTAATGGTTATCACTCTGGACTCTGAGTTTCTTGTGTTTGTTTTTCTGTTTGATGGATGGGTGGATAAGCGCCTGTGTGTCTTCTTAATAAAAAGTTGTCCTTTAAGTAACTGTTAACACAACTAATACTATGCTCATTTTTTTTTCTTCTTACAGGATCTGTATTTACGTGCCTAACAGTAGCTCTGGGATTTTATCGCCTGTGGATATAATAAAGTGTCTATTTAAAGATATCCCTATTGTTTTGCCTTAAGAATACCAGATTGCTGTGCCTCTTCTTCCCCCCCTCATTTCCAAATTTTAACCCTAGTTTTGACTTAACATGTATTATTTATTTTATGCAGATTATGGACATATAACCAAGGAAAGAAGTCATAATGATTCCTTTCATCTTTTCTGTTTAGTTGCCTTTGTACCACTGAGTGGTGGTGGACAAAACACGGAAGACCCCACTCAGCCGGACCAGTGAACTTGGTCTAACCTGTGGGACATACCAACAGTAAATATTTATATAACTCTACAATTTTCAGTCTTCTGTCACATAGAGGATTTTGGGGGTCTCCATTTAAAAGGCACAATGGCTTCACTAAGTGCTGAACAATCACCGAAACTAAACCAAGAGCACCAAACCCTGTGTCTCTCTGACCCAGTCCTTCCCCTCAGCCAGTCCCTATGTTAGGGTACTGTGTTTCAGCCCCAGGGGGTTGATGTGCTAATGATTCACTTATACTGTTCCCCTAAAGCAATTATTTTTCTCTTCATTTCCATTGTCTTAGTTATTGTCATGGTTATTTATCGTGTGCCTTCCAGCCAGAAAATCTTGTTGCCTAATGAAGTTTTGTACTCATTACAAATGGGGACTCTCTTTTTACCTCTCAGAGTGCTAGATTTCTGTCCCACCCTCTCACTTCGTGTGCCCGCCCCTCCCCCCCCAGCCCCCGGCTCGAGAACTATAACCATACTCCACGGGCAGCATTACCTGCCTACGAAACTTGCTAATTCTTGGCATGGAAATCTGCTTCGGTTTGTGGGACAAGTTCTACTTGCTTCTGGTCTTCATCTGCTTTGTATATAAGAGAGGCACTCGGTTTTCCTTCAGCAATATTTAGATATTTGGATAGTGTATGCACTTCTTACAAAAGTCTTGAATGAATATGCCTTTGCCCATTACAAGCTCAGACTGTAGGCTTTAAAATTAGAGAACTGTCATTCCAGGTTATCATCTTAAGGTCGATTCCTTTGGTTGTTAAAAACATTCCCATACCTACCTTACTTCTATTTTTTAAAACAAATAAATCCCTAGATACAGCTGGGGTTCTTTTAGAGAAGCACATTCTCATGTTATTTGAATGACTGGCGTGGGAGAGAATATGCATTTTAAAAACGAGGACATGGAGAGCCTGTTTTTTGTCTTTCTCCACATACACGCATGTGCACATAATCCGGTACAGTGGAGAAACCACAAAGGCACTTGTTGATCGAATTGGTAGGATAAATCATCCATTGTCACTGTTCTACCGCACTGGCAAAAAAGTTACGTTTGTCCTTTGGATGTCATTTCTTAAACTTCAGAAAATGTAAGTCATTGTCTTTTTTTTTTTTTAAACATATGTTTAGCACAAAGCTTCTGAACTCCGGATGAGCCTGAAAATCAAGTTCTTTGGCATTAGTGGTATCAGTTTCAAAGTGAATAATGATTTGTCTTCAACTTGATCCAGAATTATCGGGGCACCTGGGTGGCTCAGTTGGTGAAGCCTCTGCCTTCAGCTCAGGTCATGATCCCAGGGTACTGGGATCAGGCCCCGCATTGGGCTCCCTGCTCAGTAGGGAGACTGCTTCTCCCTCTCCTGTTTCCTCTGCTTGTGCTCTCTCTCTCTCTGCCAAATAAATAAAATCTTTAAAAACAAAAAAACCCAAAATTATCTCAACTGCTTCATAAAATACTGTAGTCATTTGTGCTTCGCCTTTCAGAGGAGGATCCCCAGAAAATACTGCACGTTGAGCAGTTGCCTTAAGTATTACAGATGTAAGTAAATGACATCCCATTAAGACCACATTTGCAACTACTTAATATAGATAGAACTATGGTTAGTAAGAGCTTGGAGAAAGGGCCTGGAACACAGACATGCCTCCAAAATTAAAAGAATCCCCAAGAGGAAAAAGCACTGTATGTAATTATGTTTCAAAGCAAACACTAACTTGTATAGGTTAAAAACAAGCAAAGTGACCTTACTTCCTGATAAAATATTTTTTAAACAACATTCAGAGGGGTGACACTCTCTGATCTGCCAGGAGTATAAATGGCATTCCTACTGGTTTATAGTGGGCTGCAGCAGTCACTTAATTTGGGCCTTGGATTTTGGTGTGTAGTCTTCTGCATTACAGAACAGACTCCCCGTACCCGCAACCTCGGGAACAATGAACTCGCATTTTGGTGGCTTGGGTTGCATGCGTATATGGAGGTTAGGAATGTTCGGGACTGTGTTCCCTTTGTTTGGTCAAATGCATTTTATTTGAAAAGCATATGAGCCAGAAATACAAGCATACCCTTCCCCCTGCTGGCTGGCCCACACTTCTGTGACCAGCGGGAGCACGCTGGGACTGGACACAGTGGGACAGCTTCCTGAACTAGTCTGGTTCCGAGGGATTCCGATCGATCGCTTAGGAACATAGGCCTTCGCCTAATTTCAGAAGGGGAAGATGCCTGGCACACAACTTGCAGATAACCCATGTGGTAGCACCTGGGAAACGAACCAGAGCCCGATACTGCGCATGTACCCCGAGGCCCAGGTGCCTTTGCTACCGATGCCCAGAGCAGAAGGCCGGACGGACAGAATCTGGACTTCCTTTCCGTTCTTGGGGGTGCCTCTGCATTCCTACACTCTTCTCCCCTGCCCTTGTCCAAAGAGCCTAAACTCCGATTCTCCCTCCTTTCCTGTTCCATTAATAAGCAAAACCTGTCTGTACAGTTCTTTACAGGAAACAGGATTTTGATTTCTGGCCTGTTCTTACTCCTTCGGCTGCTTTTCTAGCTTAGTATCTAACAAAACGAAATCTGAGTGTATTCATTTTTTCCCTTAAGTATGCCAAGTACCTCAGTTGAGAAGTCAAGTTCAAGAAGAAAGGCTTGGCTCAAACCAGACATCTTGCTGGAATTTGTCTCGGAACACTCTAAAAATAAAAATCCCGAGCCGCAGAGAACGTGTCCCTGCCCGGGTTATGCCCGCCTCAGCTTTTCCCTCTGTAGCTGCGCCCTGAGTGATGGGAGCTTCCCTCCCGTTCTTGGCCTCCAGCCGCTTCCATCACCGCCTCTGCCTGTTACTTAACCGTGTCCGCATGGGCGAGCGCTCCCCCCACCCCTGCGATGCTCTGGTTGGCATCGTTTCTGAGCAAATATCATAACTCACGTCCAGAAAACTTTGGCTTTACCATATGTTTATCAAATTTGTGGCTTTCCGGACACTAAAGCAAAAACATGTTAAACAGAAACCATTTATTCTTGATGTACTCTCTGTGTTTGAGAATGGTTAGCCCTTCACTGGAATTTTATTTTGAAAATACCTGTCTTCCTACAGATTTACACTCATGTTCTGATTATAACCCAAATCAATTTATTAACCGTTTTATCAGTTAAGCGAATAGTCAATTACATTTTGTTATATAATAGAGTGGGTATATTTTTATTATCGAAAATAAAATACTTAATTCTTTCTATGTGACTACTACACCTTTCATGCGAATTATTCAGTGAATTGGCAAATTGAGAACTTCTGCCTGCACTGTATTTTACTGTTACTCCCTCCATTGTATATGACAACACTGGTGTATTATAAGAAAACCTAATACGCTAAAAAATGGGGTTTGTATAGACGATAACTTTGAAAGTGCTTGCTTGATTTACAAAATAAATTTTTTATTCAAAAGAATTAGCATGCTCTTGTAAAATACTTGTTTGAGGGGACATTTATTTTTAAGAGAAAAAGATTTTTTTTAATTCATCTATGTACATCGGAATTCACAGAAAAAAAATGTGACTTAAGGAGATGGTTAGAAATGGGGGCTTCCATAGAGGGGAAGTGAGTTTCAATTACAAGTTTTTAGAAGTAGCTGAGCTGACTCAGTTTGCGAGTAATCGAAATCCCAATCAGCTAGCTGGAGTAAGAGGGAATTTACCTTTCTGGCTTATGATCCACGTTCAGGCAGGGCAGAACTCCCAAGGCCATCAGAACCCCTCTCTGCACCTCTTAACTCCCCTTTGGGTGGGCAGAATTCTCTCCATTGTGGAGAACTGAAACACCAGCACATGCGGACCGCTTAGGGATCGGAGGGTTCGTTCACCCAGACGAGGCCTTGCAGAAAGGATGCGAAGCGAGCAGCCGGAGAAGGGTGCAGGGAGGGATGCTGCGGGGCCTCCGTGCGGGCTTCTTCCCTGCGGACTCGCTGAGCAAGGGGGGAGGAGCCCTTCGCGAGTCATCCCCCTGCAGGTGACCTTCGGTATAACAACGTCTGTCTGCTCCAGAGGAGAGCAAACCCCTTGGGAACGTGGATGAATGAACTAGCCCAGAAATTAATGATAGGGACCTTTCATTTTCTCCAACCAGAAATCTACCAAAGTTAGAGAGTCAAATAAACTAAACTTGAGGGTGAGCCGTAAAGTTCCTAAAAGGCGCCAAATGATTTGCAGACTCAGCCTCTGTTTACAGGGGGGGCAGGGTGTGGGGCGTGGGTGCACAACCTCACACCTGGTCCTGCTTTCACATCCAAGGGTATGGCAACCTGAAAACCTCGTCTTTGCCTGGGGCCTTTGGTGTCTTTCAAAATAAGAACGTAGCTTCAAAGAATGCCATTTTCTGGAAACAGCTTACTCTCTGGAACCAAAGCAGAGTCCGCCGGTCGCATCTCTACCTTAATTCCGCAGCTTCCCGGCGCGGGTCCCGGACCACAGGATGCTGGGGAGGGGTCCCGGCGGCCGCCCACCACACGGGCCTGGGCATCTGCATCCTTGACCTAAGCAGGCGGCACTCAGCTCTGGGTCGCCTTGTGCATGTTGCAAACACACACAGAACTATTTCTAGGCCAGCACTCTCAGGAGCAAGGAGTTGAGTCCGTGGGCATTTGACAAGGTCCTAATTCTTTCTCTCTCAGTTTAAACTAATCCCCACCCTCACACACACACACCAACTAATCGGTTCATGATTCTGAAGCTTCAGGTCAACTTAATATCAAAGCCCAGGGAGCTGCGCTCACGGTTGCCCCTCGGCAGGTCATTCCTGCGCTTACTGCCTTGCACAGGTGTTTGAATTCTTCCTCCGCCACCTCCCCGCCTCCCACTCCATCCACAACGTGCGTTTTCCCAGAAGAGAAGAAACAGCTGCTGAGTGGCATCTTGTCCCTTGCTGCATGAAAGTTGGTGTCTTTACCTAATACAGAAGCATTTTGTACTATTTCTCTTAGTTTTATAGAAGTTTATAGTGTGCATGAGCCTCACATCATCCTGAGAGATGCTGTAACAGGTGGTGTCCCTGTGCTATCTGTGAAAAGGAGTGATGAGACTTTATGGAGAAAAGATAGAAGCCGGGCGGATCAAGATATTCAGGGAACCCATGAGAGAACTTTTGGTTTTTTTTTTTTTACATCATAGCAGTTGGATGCTTTCAACTGTAAGTAACACAAAACGAACAGTGGCTTATACCAAATGACTTTTATTACTTAGAGTCTAGAAATATAGATGATCCTCAGGGCTGGTTTGGCAGCTGAACATTGCCTTCAAGGACCCAGCTCTTTTCATCTTTCCATTCTTAGCTTCCTCTGTGTGTTAGCTTTCAGCTTCAGCCTTGGTGTTACCTGATCACAAAATGGCTGCCACAGCTCCAGGCATCACATCCTCACATGGTAGCATGCAATGCGAAAAGAGAGTGAGGTGCACAAGGGCTTTTAGTCAAGAAGAAAGATCTATCCCACTCCCACAGAAAAACCCATGATATCTCGTAGGGCAGGATGAGGTCACATGGTCATCTATAGCAAGACAGTTTGCAAACGAGAATGTTTAGCTTTTGTAGCCCTTCTGGTGGGAGGCGGGCAAGGAAGAAGGAAGCTGGAAGTGGTTGTTGGGTTGGCATTCAACAGTGCTGGGTACAGTGTTTGTGAAAATAACAGGCTGGGCACTAGGGAGAAGGATATAATGGCTTTAAGTTACCACACTCTAGTGGCTAGAAATGCTTCAGGATGTCCTTTCCCTTTATTTCTAAGAACCTGTGGGTAATTTTACTTTATTCTATGCCACAGAATATTTTTACTGGTTCTCCAACCAAATCTTTAATTCCTTCATTTTTTTTTTAAATTTTAAAAGCAGTTCCCAGGATTTGTTCCAAATAACTTACATATTTGAGGAAAAGTAAATCTGTTAATGAACAAATTCACATACACGCTTATTTCTCAAAACTCCTCCCCAGTCTTCAGGGCGATACACCCTCAGCTTTGCCGAATTATTTTGGCCAAAACACAGCACAAACCAGATACCACTCCCCTCCCCTCCAATGGGTGCTGTACCTCTGTATCTGAGGTTTATTCTTGCCTCAGTTGCTCTCGGCTGCATGGCAGAAGCACGTGTCCCCCACTCTCTCCTGTCTGTTCTCTACCTCTGTTCCCAGCTTCCTGCTTCCTTCTTGTCCAACTATGTCCCATAAGAATAACTCAGAACATACATACTGGATCTGAAATTCGCACGGTTGAGGGAAAAGTGTAAAAAAAATGGGTCTACATCTGGTAGAAGTCGGGGTTGAGGGGGGACGGCTGTGGCACAGTCGGTGACCATCCGGCTTGCGAAGGGGACGGTGGACGCTACTGACCGTCGCGTTCTCTGTGGGATGCCGTCGATTTCCAGCACAGCCAATTCCTGGGACAGGTGCACCTGCAGAAAGTCTGCTTAGGATGCGTGAATGCAATTAAATCAGAAGGTCAGTGCTCAGTGAGAACGAAAAAGCTGTTGAACGGAGCACGGTCAGGTAGTTCCGAGTCTCCTCCGTTAATATTTATGTGAATACCCTTGCTTGGGTATGAACATCGCAAGTGCTAGTAGACAGAATGGTGGCAAGTCCTCAAAGGTTAAGCAAACTCAAAGGCAAAAAGTTTAAGGTTGGGAAAAGTCCATTAACTTCTCCCTGCCAATTAATAAAACCATGATGATTTTGTTTTAGCGGCGCAATATCTTGGTCTGGTTGCCAACCATCAGTTTTTATAGGCAGAGGGTTTCACAGCCACCAGTGCGATGAGTCAGGAGCTCTGGGTTCAGCTCCCAGCCTGGCCACTTGCTGTGCTCTTGGGAAAACCACTGGCCCTTGCCAAGCCGATGGTTCCCACATTTCTAAAATAACAGCAACAATAATGATGAGAATGGGGATAATTATGGAGCACTGGTTTAGTATATTTCAGGCACAGTTCTAAAGTCTTCCCATGCTCGTTTACTCTTCATCACATCCCTACGAAGTAAGTGCTGAAATGATCTCTTTACAGAGGAGGAAATCAAGGCAGAAAGAGTCGAAGTAACGCACCCCACAAACACCCAGCTCATACTTGGTGACTCCAGATTCAAACCCAAGTGTTCTGACTCTGAGGAATAGAGACCCTACCCACTGATAGCACTTGCTAAGGATCAAATGAGGTCAAAAACATGAAAATGTTTTATTTTTTAAAAAAGATTTTATTTATTTATTTGACAGGGAGAGACATAGTGAGAGAAGGAACACAAGCAGGGGGAGTGGGAGAGGGAGAAGCAGGCTTCCTGCGGAGCAGAAGCCCGATGTGGGGCTCGATCCCAGGACCCTGGGATCATGACCTGAGCCGAAGGCAGACGCTTAACGACTGAGCCACCCAGGCGCCCAGTGAAAATGTTTTATAAACTATAAAACCCTACGTGCAATAACTGGAATCACTTACTAGTATTTACTAGTAACTTTGCTTTTACCATACCCAAATAAGTACATTTCCCTTATTCTGCTCCCTCACAACCCCCCCCCCCCAGAGTACCAAGACACGTGAAGTTATTGAGAAAGATGCAGCATCCTAGCAAAGTCCTGGGGCGCCTGGGTGGCTCAGTCAGTTAAGCGTCTGCCTTCAGCTCAGGTCATGGTCCCAGGGTCCTGGGATCGAGCCCCGCATCGGGCTCCCTGCTCAGCAGGGAGCCTGCTTCTCCCTCTCCCTCTGCCTCTCTCCCTGCTTGTGCTCTCTCTCTCTTAAATAAATAAATGAGTAAATAACACAAATCCTTTGAAAAGCTGGTGTATAGATTATAGCAGGTTTTGGAGGAATATAGATAACCTCAAGGAAATAACCATAAGCTCTCAAGTATTATACTATACCAGCCCTTCATATAAATCCCAGGGTGACTGTGAATGTTCATAAGTTTATTTGGGGGTCTTTATATAAAAGGATTAATGTTGACATGAAGGCCACTGTCTAAGCCTTAGATTCATCCAAACTGTAGGCTTTAAATAATTCCTTATTATTTAGTTAGTACCCTTTTTCTTGGTGATATGATCATTAATTAGGATATTTCATTCTTTTTCTTTTTCCAGATTTTATTTTTAAGTAATCTTTTCACCCAACGCGGGGCTCGAACTCACAACCCTGACATCAAGGGTCGCACGCTCCACTGATTAAGCCAGCCAGGAGCCCCTAGGATATTTCATTCCTCATCAACCAAGTCAACCATCTATCTGTAGCACTACATGAGAAAAAAAAAATTTTTTTTTCAGCCACTTTTCAAAAGTTTCCCAGAAAGCTGGGCTATCCAAATCCTGACTGGGCCCCTAGAAGCATTCCCATCTTATCCAAATTCTGTTTTATTCGCATAAAACCCTTCTTGCTTGCTTTTGGCTTACCATGGAAACCATGTATGTCTTGCAAAGTGGGAATTTAGATCTCAGAT